TTCTTAACCTAACCCCTATATAAATATATATATATATATATATATATATATATATATATATATATATATATATATATATATATATATATATATATATATATATATATATATATATATATATATATATATAACTGAAAACTCACACCCCAGAAGTGACTCGAACCCATACTCCCAGAAGCAACGCATCTGGTATGTACAAGACGCCTTAATCCACTTGACCATCACGACCGGACATAATGAGGTGATAGCCGAGGCTATTTGAACCACCCCACCGCCGGCACTCGGATAGTTATCTTGGGCATAGCATTTTACCAAATCACCTCATTCTTTGGGGCAACACGTGAGGAACACAAATGCGAACAAGCCTGAATGGTCCCCAGGACATATGCAACTGAAAACTCACACCCCAGAAGTGACTCGAACCCATACTCCCAGAAGCAACGCATCTGGTATGTACAAGACGCCTTAATCCACTTGACCATCACGACCGGACATAATGAGGTGATAGCCGAGGCTATTTGAACCACCCCACCGCCGGCACTCGGATAGTTATCTTGGGCATAGCATTTTACCAAATCACCTCATTCTTTGGGGCAACACGTGAGGAACACAAATGCGAACAAGCCTGAATGGTCCCCAGGACATATGCAACTGAAAACTCACACCCCAGAAGTGACTCGAACCCATACTCCCAGAAGCAACGCATCTGGTATGTACAAGACGCCTTAATCCACTTGACCATCACGACCGGACATAATGAGGTGATAGCCGAGGCTATTTGAACCACCCCACCGCCGGCACTCAGATAGTTATCTTGGGCATAGCATTTTACCAAATCACCTCATTCTTTGGGGCAATACGTGAGGAACACAAATGCGAACAAGCCTGAATGGTCCCCAGGACATATGCAACTGAAAACTCACACCCCAGAAGTGACTCGAACCCATACTCCCAGAAGCAACGCATCTGGTATGTACAAGACGCCTTAATCCACTTGACCATCACGACCGGACATAATGAGGTGATAGCCGAGGCTATTTGAACCACCCCACCGCCGGCACTCGGATAGTTATCTTGGGCATAGCATTTTACCAAATCACCTCATTCTTTGGGGCAACACGTGAGGAACACAAATGCGAACAAGCCTGAATGGTCCCCAGGACATATGCAACTGAAAACTCACACCCCAGAAGTGACTCGAACCCATACTCCCAGAAGCAACGCATCTGGTATGTACAAGACGCCTTAATCCACTTGACCATCACGACCGGACATAATGAGGTGATAGCCGAGGCTATTTGAACCACCCCACCGCCGGCACTCGGATAGTTATCTTGGGCATAGCATTTTACCAAATCACCTCATTCTTTGGGGCAACACGTGAGGAACACAAATGCGAACAAGCCTGAATGGTCCCCAGGACATATGCAACTGAAAACTCACACCCCAGAAGTGACTCGAACCCATACTCCCAGAAGCAACGCATCTGGTATGTACAAGACGCCTTAATCCACTTGACCATCACGACCGGACATAATGAGGTGATAGCCGAGGCTATTTGAACCACCCCAACGCCGGCACTCGGATAGTTATCTTGGGCATAGCATTTTACCAAATCACCTCATTCTTTGGGGCAACACGTGAGGAACACAAATGCGAACAAGCCTGAATGGTCCCCAGGACATATGCAACTGAAAACTCACACCCCAGAAGTGACTCGAACCCATACTCCCAGAAGCAACGCATCTGGTATGTACAAGACGCCTTAATCCACTTGACCATCACGACCGGACATAATGAGGTGATAGCCGAGGCTATTTGAACCACCCCACCGCCGGCACTTCTCAGCCTACTATTCAAGGCCCGATTTGCCTAATAAGCCAAGTTTTCCTGAATTAATATATTTACTATATTTTTTTTCTTATGAAATGATAAAGCAACCCTTTTCTCTATGTATGAGGTCATTTTTTTTTTATTGGAGTTAAAATTAACGTAGATATATGACCGAACCTAACCAACCCTACCTAACCTAACCTAACCTATATTTATCGGTAAGGTTAGGTTAGGTAGCCAAAAAAAGCTAGGTTAGGTTAGGTTAGCTAGGTTAGGTAGACGAAAAAACATTAATTCATGAAAACTTGGCTTATTAGGCAAATCGGGCCTTGAATAGTAGGCTGAGAAGTGCGTTCTGGCTATTAGGTACGACATATATATATATATGAACAGAAGACAATGTCCAACACAGAAGACAATGTCCCACATAACAGGCCAATTACACTGGATTAATCTTTGTGTTTAGATAGGAGATGCCTCGTATGGGCCAATAAGCCTTCTGCAGCCCCTATGTTTATCCCTTATGTATCCCCCCATGTTTTTCACCTTCATTGTATATATATATATATATATATATATATATATATATATATATATATATATATATATATATATATATATATATATATATATATATATATATATATATATATATATATGTCGTACCTAGTAGCCAGAACTCACTTTTCAGCCTACAATGCAAGGCCCGATTTGCTTAATAAGCCAAGTTTTCATGAATTAATTGCTTTTCGACTACCTAACCTACCTAACCTAACCTAACCTAACTTTTTCGGCTACCTAACCAAACCTAACCTATAAAGATAGGTTAGGTTAGGTTAGGTAGGGTTGGTTAGGTTCGGTCATATATCTACGTTAATTTTAACTCCAATAAAAAAAAATTGACCTCTTACGTAATGATATGGGTTGCTTTATCATTTCATAAGAAAAAAATTAGAGAAAATATATTAATTCATGAAAACTTGGCTTATTAGGCAAATCGGGCCTTGCATTGTAGGCTGAAAAGTGAGTTCTGGCTACTAGGTACGATATATATATATATATATATATATATATATATATATATATATATATATATATATATATATATATATATATATATATATATATATATATATATATATATATATATATATATATATATATATATATATATATATATATATATATATATATATATATATATATACATATACGACATATATATATATATATATATATACATATATATATATATATACATATATATATATATATATATATATATATATATATATATATATATATATATATATATATATATATATGTCGTACCTAGTAGCCAGAACTCACTTCTCAGCCTACTATTCAAGGCCCGATTTGCCTAATAAGCCAAGTTTTCCTGAATTAATATATTTACTATAATTTTTTTCTCATGAAATGATAAAGCAACCCTTTTCTCTATGTATGAGGTCAATTTTTTTTATTGGAGTTAAAATTAACGTAGATATATGACCGAACCTAACCAACCCTACCTAACCTAACCTAACCTATATTTATAGGTAAGGTTAGGTTAGGTAGCCAAAAAAAGCTAGGTTAGGTTAGGTTAGGTAGGTTAGGTAGACGAAAAAACATTAATTCATGAAAACTTGGCTTATTAGGCAAATCGGGCCTTGAATAGTAGGCTGAGAAGTGCGTTCTGGCTATTAGGTACGACATATATATATATATATATATATATATATATATATATATATATATATGTTCTCTGACAAGCTTGGAGATTTCAATGCGGCATTGAGTCATGATCTCACTAGCTTGAGTCATGATCTCACTGGCTTGGAGGTTTTAATGCCAAATGAGTAATGCACTTGTCGGTCCAAACTCTGTTAATTACTTTAATTTGATTAAAGTGGATATGGATAGGAGATATTAATAGACCGTTTCATTAATTCCTATGTTCAATAAGTGATCTTTAGCTATACACTAAAATCATTAGGTATAAATATGCAATCTTTGGCTGGAACACTAACAATATTTCTTACAATTCAAGTAGTTACTAAAAATAATTGGATCAAATATGCCATCTTTAATTGAATTCTACAGAAAAGGGTACAAGTGAATGAATGAGTATAATAAGTTGGTATCAATAAGGTATTTAATATTAAAGCAATATATATAAGTTTACTTGACCAAACCACACACTAGAAATTGAAGAGATGACGACGTCTCGGTCCGTCCTGGACCATTTTTAAGTCGATTGTAATAATGATCGACTTGATAATGGTCCAGCTCTTCAATTTCTAGTGTGTGGTTTGGTCAACATTTTTCAGCCACATTATTGTGACTTTTCATCTGCATATAAGTTCAGGCTTTCTGCATCTCTAGATAGGTGACATGATAAAAGTGGATATAATAAGGGGGATATCAATAAGGTAGTTATTAAACAACATATAAGTTTTATAAAAAGAATTGGGCATATACAAGGGTGTGAAGATTATGTATAGAAATTTTGCAGTTTATTTCCTTTCTTAATGGCAGTTAATGATTGACTCAACATGGGTGGGAATAAGGTGATACTGCATTAATTTTTATATTGAATTAGTAATCTTTAACTAGCAATTTGGCAGAAATAAGCAATGTTTGGAAATGAGAGTATATATATGAAATCAGTGAAAATGGGATTAAATTATATATGATTAAAAATGAAATAATTGAAAATGGACTGATTTAATTTTATTGGGAGGATTAAAACTGGCTGTAGACATACTAAAAAATTAAGGACGACAGAAGGGAGCCGTTTGATCTCTATGGAAAAATGTAGCTGTGCCTGCAAGCAGTCGTTTTTTTATGGTCACAGGGCAAAAAGGCCCACAAGCAATCATTAATCATGGTTATGGGAAAATGTTTGTCGACGTAAGCCGACAATCACCGAGTTTTAGGGTAATGTAGCTAAGTCTATGAACAATTGTTTCTTACGGTCATGAGGAAAAAGCACGCCTACGAGCAATCGATGAGAAAAACCAAATTGATTGCTTATAGGCGCCCTTTAACCTACTAATGTGAATATTTGTGAGCCCCAACTTTCCCTAGTACAACGTATTTTATTCGTTAAGGACGTATAAAATGTGGTGTATTGAGATGACGGGTTGACGCATGATGTAACTCACCTTCCCCTCCGATGCCCCAGGCGAAGACGGGGATGGAGCAGTAGGTCCAAGACACCGGCATGTTGGGGCCGTAGCACTGGAGCCCCGGCATGCCCAGCCACTTTTCGAAGTGCCTGGCACTGTCAGGCACGTGGCATTCGTACACCAGGATGTGGTGCACGTGCTGCATGTTCTTCTCCTCGATCAATGGGACAAACTGAAAGATACCCCCACCCCTTATGTGAGCTGTGACTGTGGACATTGACCATTGAGGAAAGGCTTCAACCAGAAGCAAAACATTAACCACCCACACAAAATGAAATCACATTAATGTGATGTATCGATGAGAAAATCAATAGGAGCCATGAATAGTACCATGGCTGTGTCTTGGTGTAGTGGTCTAGGGCGTGTGTTTGGGAGTACCAAGTGTGCTGGTTCGAATCCTCCTCGTGGCTCCTACTGGTTTCCTCATTAACCACATAGGCAAGAAACTGACAATTAAGGCAAGAACTTACAGCTGAGGCATAACGTTGACCATAAGGCAAGACATTAACCACGGAGGCAAAACATTGATTATTAAGCAAGACATTAGCCACGCAGGCAAAACATTGACCATTGAGGCAAGACATTAATCATCGAGGCAAGCCATAAACCACTGAGGCAAGACTTTGACCACTGAGACAAAACATTGACCATTGATCCAAAATATTAATTATTAAGGCAAGACTTTGACCACTGTAGCAAAACATTGACCATTAATCCAAAATATTAATTATTAAGGCAAGACTTTGGCCATTGTGGCAAATCACTGACCACTGAGGCAAAATACTGATGCAAAGCACTGACCACTGAGGCAAAACACTGATGCAAAGCACTGATCACTGAGGCAAAACACTGACCACTGAGGCAAAACACTGACCACTGAGGCAAGACATTAACCACTTAGTGAAGGCAGTGACCACTGAGGGAAAAGATCGACCATAGAAGCAAAATATTAATCACAGAGACAAGACATTGACTACTGTGGCAAAACGCTGACCATCGAGACAAGACGTAGACTACTGATATAAAGCACTGGCCACTGAGGCAAATTGATGTAAGGATCTTATGAATTTATGTCAATAATTCAGAGGTCGGGATGTTGGATGATTATCCATTAATAAGGAATAGCATAATATGTAAAGAATGCAGTCAAAACTAAAAATTGTAGCATAAAATTATAAAGGAAGCAAAGACTGTGAAAACGTCTGTATGAAACATGGCTTTGCTAAGGGCTGATCTCTTTTTACATTATGCTTTACTTTAAATTTACTCCTATTCTTTTCCAACATATATGAAGCAATTGACAATGGCAAAAATGGCATCATTATATTCAAGAGTTGCCCCAACACTGACTTGGTCCTGACTCAGCATTAATTAGTGGTAACTCAGTATTGACTCAACATTGATGAAGAAAATATGATGATTACAAAGAGATGACAACTTTTAATATAACTCGAATTTCTTCATCATGTTGCCTTGGAGTCAGCCATACACCAGGAGGGAACCTCGGACTAGCTACTCACCCCAATGGCCTGGGTTTTGGAGGTGAGGGGCGGTATCTTGTTCATACTGCACCAGTACAGGGTCCTCAGGTCGTTCGGCAGACTAACCTGGAGCAATTTATCTTTTGATGAAAAGTATCTTAACTAGGTACTGATCATACCTTACAACTTTACTCATTCTTTTCCAAAATATTTGAAGCAATCAACAGTGGAAAGAGGATGACATTATATACAATATATGCTATTTGTGAGCTAATTCACACATGATTTGGGAAAGATAAAAAAAACGTGGATGTAGTAAAGGGTATAACTAGTGAAATATTACAATCACATTAAAAATTACTTTATAAAGCCGTTTTAAATTTCTTAGGTAATACAAATCCTGACCGCTATCATAAGATAAATTAGGAAGTAGCGGTGTAAATATAAAATTAATGAAAACAAGTTTTTATATATTAATAAATACTTTAGGGGACAATAAAGGGTAATTTATGTCTCAGAAGCCCTAAGCCAACATGACAATATTCAGCTGGGAAATGATATGAGGACAGACACAGAAGTGGGATATGAGGATGGAGTGAAGGAACGGTGCCCAACCACTTGAACTGTCGGGGGAGCCAGTGGTAACCCTGCAAGAAAAGTGGCCGTTGATCTAGCGACCAGTCAAAGTGGTCAGCTGGGCAGGTTGACTATTTTTATATAATTTTATTGTGGAAAATACATAATAAAATTAAGTATTTTATTTGCAAAGTCTTTGAACGCTGAGAGCCAGCACATATCACGAGAGGACGTCAAAGATAGACTTAAAAAATTCTTCGACATTTTCAAACAGAATGAGATAAAATTATGTCCATTTTTTTACGAGAATCTAATCTTAGATGAAGAGCTGACAGATACCTACGTTGGGAGAGAGGAGGTCCCAGGCCTTCACGTCCCCTCCAGGGGTGGGGAAGACGAGCTCAGGAGACTGCAGGTAGAGGCTCTTCGTCCCTCGCTCGCTGTGTTTCCTCATTGTCATCTCGTCCGTGGGATCGTTGGCGGCGATGGCCCAGATCAACTTCACTGTCTCGTCCTGAGGGAAGGGCAGGGATGGGCAAGGTTCAAAAGTCTACTTCAACTATTCTAGGACTAGCTTAGTCCTACTGTAAAACTAGATTAGATCAGATCTTGGTCATTCTAGATTAGGCCTAGACTGGATTAGGTTGGAATATATTTTGGTTTCCATAATTTAAAATGTTACATTTAAGATTTATGTTTTTTCTTGTTAAGAGTCGGTTTTTTGTACTAAATTTGTAAGTTATCAAATTGATTTCTTAACTTTTGTATATATAGGTATAAAAAAATTGAGGACGAGATGGTATTTTACAACGCGAAGCACACACAGGCTGAAGGTACCTGTCCTCAGGCTGTGCTCTGCCATGCAGCCGCTCACCCCAGGCACAGTCATCAACTTCAATGTACTGTGTAGGTAGTAACTGAGTGATTGTAACCTATCCACCGCTGCCCACTGGATGGGGGGCGGTGTGCAGGACAAACATATCAATTGTGACACAAGCTCTCCACACATGTCAGTTGCTTAATTTAGAACCTGTACTTGAGGTCGATCTCGAACCCATTGTTGATGTGACGACTTATATTGAATTTTGTAACTAGCTCATCAATATTGTAACTTGCTTAGCCAAATGCATTGTGAGGTTCAGTCCCTGAGCCCATTATGTGCCTCTGTAACCCTTTCCACTACCGCCCACAAGATGAGTATGGGGTGCATAATAAATGAACTAAACTAACTAACTGTGAATTCAATTCGGCCTATCTCATATATGAATTAGCATTATTCTATATTAAAGTTTAGCATATAGTAAACCAAAATTATGTTAGGTTAAGTGTTTAAGTTCTCTTGCAATCCATCCTAAGACCAAGCCCATCCCATCAAGCGGTCGACCCCCAAAGACGATTTTAATCGCCTTTCGATTTTTTAATCATCAATTTTAACATGCTGTTCACCCAAAATAGGAATTTTCTAAAATATAAATTAATATTGTTAAATATTAGCATACTGTGCATATTTAGGCACTGGTTTGGTTAGGTTAGGTATTTAGGTTCAGTTGATGGTTATTTGTATTTTTAGTACGTGGATAAAGTGTTTACATCATTAAGTTTCGAACAAAATTCGTCAGCGAAGCACTTGTTCCGGTAATGTTCGAACGTCATCAGTTGTATCAGCCCGTCCTCTAAACAAAGCAGCCCGTCCTCCAAACAAAGATCCAAAAGTGATTCCATGCACCCGCCAAACCCCCTCTTTATGAATGAAAAGCGGTTTACACACGACTCACAACTGCTGACGTTCGAACACTTCCAGAACAAGTGCTTCACTGACAAATTTTGTTCGAATCACAACGCTATAAATGCTTCACCCACGAACTACAAATACAAATAATCGCCAACAGAACCTAAACACCTGACCTAACCTATCCTATGCCTATATATACACAATATGCTAATATACTATAATATTAATTTATACTTGAGAAAATTCCCGTTTTGAATGAACAGCATGTTAAAATTTATGAATGCGTCTGTGGGGTTGACCGCTGGGTGTAATGGACTTGAATCGAGGACGGGTTGAAACAAAGATCCAAAGTCAATTCCATGCACCTGCCAAACTCCATTTTGTTTATGAATGAAAAACGGTTAACACACGACTTATACAACCCGTCCTCGACTCAAGTCCATTACATCCAGCGGTCGACCCCACAGACGCATTCATAAATTTTAACATGCTGTTCATTCAAAACGGGAATTTTCTCAAGTATAAATTAATATTATAATATATTAGCATAGTGTGCATATATAGGCATAGGTTAGGTTAGGTTAGGTGTTTAGGTTCTGTTGGCGATTATTTGTATTTGTAGTACGTGGGTGAAGCATTTATAGCGTTGTGATTCGAACAAAATTCGTCAGTGAAACACTTATTCCGGATATGTTCGAACGTCAGCAGTTGTGAGTCGTGTGTAAACCGCTTTTCATTCATAAACAGGGGGTTTGGCGGGTGCATGGAATCACTTTTGGATCTTTGTTTGGAGGACGGGCTGACTTATAACTGATGACGTTCGAACAATTCCGGAACAAGTGCTTCACTGACAAATTTTGTTTGAACCAGAACGCTGTAAATGCTTCACCCACGTACTACAAATACAAATAATCGCCAACAGAACCTAAACATCTAACCTAACCTAATCTATGCTTATATATGCACAATATGCTAATGTCTTAAAATATTAATATATATTTGCGAAAATTCCCGTTTTGAATGAATAGCATGTACAAATTTATGAATGCGTCTGTGGGGTCGACCATTGGATGCAATGGACTTGAGTCGAAGACGGAATGGTTGTGAGTCGTGTGTAAACCGTTTTTCATTCATAAACAGGGGGTTTGGCAGATCACTTTTGGCCTTTGTTTATGAGGATGGGCTTTCTTTTGACAATTATTTGCAGCATGTAGGTGAAGTATTTACAGAAGTGTGATTCGATTAGAAGACGTCAGCGAAGCACTGCTCGAGACATGTTCGAACATCATTAATTGTGAGTAATGTATAAATAAAGATAAAGCGTTTATATTCATAAACTCGGGGTTTGGGTATTAGATTAATAAGCACTTGCCCTTGTTTATGAGAAGTGGCCGGTCCATAGTAGCAATAGCCAAGAAGTTCTTCTAATATTCACTTTAATACTGATATTTGTACTAACGCCCAGAACGAAATATAAGAAGGTTCAAGAGGAGACATTTGTAAGATTATTATCTGAATGTATATAATGAGATGAGTGATTTGTGATATTGAAAAGGGCGACTTACGGAGAGCTGGAGGTCTGCTTGAAGGTCGCAAGTCTTCCAGGGTCGTGAGAACCTCAGCACGGTGTGGGTGTCGTTCTGGTACCCTCCCAGCAGCTCCACATCCTGAGACTCATCTATAATTGGTACTGCGTACCCGGTAGAATGCCGATCCTGTTAACACATGTAACACTTAAGTGAATGTGAATATGAAGAAGAAGCCTTCGTCAGATAAGTTCATCACTCAGTGTTAAAAAATGTATGAGGTACAGTCAAGGAAAATTGTTTCTTTACCCCTCAGTGCCTTAGAACATGCAAAATGGCAACACCGCATTTGTTGTTGTAGTAGTGGGTTAGAACTTGAATGAATAGGTGCTTTGTAACGACGAGTCTCATTGGTCAATCCACTTCTCACTTGTTTACATAATTATCTCTGCCATGTAAAGGAAAGTATAATAAGGCAATGAATAAAATGTAATATATTTAGATTTGTGACCAAGAATGATGGCCCTACATATGTGCTTATAAGTTTATTGACTTTTCATGTATACAATATAACGTATGATAATGTTATGTATTGGCATTCGGCTGTTGAGGTAAACGATGTGGTATCGCAATTACAAAGCCAAGTGTTAACTGTAGAGCAGCGGTGGGAAGAATTCGGGGACTTGAACGACAGACGTCGGTTTGGTGGGCCAAGAAAGACCTCTCCCGAATAAGACCAGCGAATTCTTGAATTGAACCGTCAGTCTCCCTTTATGATGCAGTTGCCATCAGGGATCAACAGCAATCTGGACGCACAGTGTGAAACCGACTTCACGAAGCCGACATCCATCACCGGATTTCAGCCAAAAACGGTAAACTTCTAAAGCAATATAGAGAAGCAAGATTGGCTTTTGCCAGAAGATATGTCAATGAAGTCCTAGATTACTGGGCCCCGTGTAATGGTCAGTGATGGGAAGACTCACGTCAGCAACTCATGCCAGATTACACCTCTGGCGTCCCAACAACACATGATATGAGCAGCAGTTTATATATGAAATCACTAGAAGTGGTTATATATCGTCCAATGTAATGGGGGTGGAGTCATTTATATGGTGCAGGAGAACGTACTGATGTTCTGGGAGGCTTCAGTGGTGACATGTGTTGAGATTTTGGAAGAAGTGATTGTGCCTTCTGTGTGCTAATTTAATAAAGATTTTCCACCATATAGGCTAACATAATCCTACCGTTCAGTCAATAAAGTTACTCAGGCTTTGACATTGGCCATTTATTTTACTAGGTTCATTGTTTTCTGTTAGGCTTAACCTCAAAATGTTATTATATATTCGCGTTGGGTTCTCCGCCAGCCGGCAAGGGGTGAGGAGGTGCTCGCCTGTACTCCAATAGTTGCCTAGCGTGCGTGGTGGTTGGTGGACGCTTGTCTTTTCGTTGACGTGGTTTGTGTGATGAGGGGCCCTCTTTCCCCTTTTTGTGGGCTCATTCGGTGGGCCTGGAATTTAGTGGACGGGCCGTCTATCCAGCCGTGGAGTTAGTAATGTGTGAAATGCTGCGTGTTTCCTTGGCGGCGATCTATGGTGTGGAATTGGTGTCATCACATCGGGCTATTGTGAAGTATGCGCACAAGGTCGACTACAGGGAATTTCTACGCCGTTACACGGGGCGGTTTTTGCCCCTGCCGGACGCTGCCGGTATGGTGCTCATCTCTGACCGCAATGGCGCCCTCACCTTTGTCAGCATGCATGGTACGCCCCTTGAATTCCCGGAGGAGCTGCTGCGGCGTTACTTTGGGCAGTTTGGTGCTGTCTTGAGTGTGAGGCTCAATATGGTTTCCTCCAGGGAAGCTTAAGGGCGTCCGAACTAGTATCCACACTCTAGGGATGCAGCTGCGGTCGGATATTCCATCCTCGGTGCAGCTCATGGGGGTATTACATCCGGATATACTATGCTTGTCAGCCTCGCACGTCTTTTCGCTGTGGTTTCTCGGGTCACCTTGCTGCTGCCTGCTCGGTGGCTGTTATTTCTCAATTGAATCTCTTTCATGAGAAGATTTCACTGCGGCTGTGTCTGGCGATGTTGACCTGGACCCTCAGACTATTTGTGCTGCTGTTTTCAGAGGTATTTGTGCTCGCAATGCGCCCTCAAAGTGGGAGCGGAAGTTGACGATCCCTGTGTGCCCATCTATTGCTTGGGTGCCTAGTGCCCATGTTTTTATGTCCGGGATTCCAGATATGATGGAGCGTCCTCGTGTACCTGTTCATCCTGCTACGATGCTTATTTGGGAGGGGTATTGCCTCCAGTTTCCGGTGGCGGAGTTCCAGAGAACTATGGGTAGGCGTGGCATTGTTTGCTCTTGCCTCCTGCTTGTTATGTCTGCTGTAGGTCCTTCAGGCTTATGGTGGTGTACTTTGGGTTTCTGTATTGTATTTTTATGTTTTGCTTTCTCCGGATTATTTGTGTTGTTTTGTTTCTGTCTGTCATGGATAGGCTACTGTAATGTGTTTTGTGTGTTTCCCTTTTATATTGTGCATATATAGGCATAGGTTAGGTTAGGTTAGGTTAGGTGTTTAGGTTTTGTTAGCGATTATTTATATTTGTAGTACGTGGGTGAAGCATTTATAGCATTGTGATTGGAACAAAATTCGACAGTGAAGAACTTGCTCGGAAGTGTTCGAACGAAATCTGTTGTGAGTCGTGTGTAAACCGTTTTTCATTCATAAACAGGGGGTTTGGCTGGTGCATGGAATCACTTTAGGTCTTTGTTTGGAGGACGGGCTGTAGTGTGAGGACGAGTTGCTCCCTGACGACTTTTGTTCATACCACAACTCTGTAAATGCTACACCCACATACTACAAAATAACAAAAATCACCAACAGAACCTAAACACCTAGTCTAATGTAACCAATGCCTAAATATACACAGTATCCGAATGTTTAACACTATAAATTTATATATGAGAAAATTCGTATTTTGAATGAACAGCATGTTAAAGTGGATGAATAGGTCTTTGGGGTCGACCGCTGATGGAATGGACTTGGTCTGAGGACGAGTTGTGCAGGTTAGTAGTTCGAATCCGGCAATTTCAACACAGACACGTAACTGCTACTTGCTGTTACTATACGATTTCCGGAGGTTTGACACTGTCCTCATAGGCGTTTGTTGGTCAGAGGCAGGAGCGGCCTATGGGCTGAGAAGAGAAGCATCAGCTTTCTTGATCTCCATTGACTCGGACGTGGAAACAGTAGACGCCCATACAGTAGAGGCCCATACAGTAGAGGCCCATACAGTAGAGGCCCATACAGGTGACGCCCATACAGTAGACGCCCATACAGTAGACGTCCATACAGTAGACGTCCATACAGTAGAGGCCCATACAGGTGACGCCCATACAGTAGACGCCCATACAGTAGACGTCCATACAGTAGACGCCCATACAGTAGACGCCCATACAGTAGACGTCCATACAGTAGACGTCCATACAGTAGAGGCCCATACAGGTGACGCCCATACAGTAGACGCCCATACAGTAGACGTCCATACAGTAGACGTCCATACAGTAGACGCTCATACAGTAGACGCTAGCGGCACAATGAAGCTGTTCTCCTAATGGTCACCAACCCCGAACTGCTGCTTAGTTAATGTGTAATCAACCAAAACTAGACATTCAGGAGTGCATCTTGTTTCATATGGTAAGGATTCCTTCTGCAATTTAATCATAATTACTGAGATTTTACTTACCCCCTAGCTGATGCATGAACCATTCATGTGGAGACAATAGCTTGCAAAACTCACATGACGAAATAATATTTATTGGCTAAAGTTGTACAGAGCATCAAGTACTGACACAACATGTCTCTCCAGCTACGCAGACAATACCACAGACTCTCTGACCACACTCACCTGCAGGAAAACCTTCCCGGAGTCGTCCACCCAGCCCAGCACCATGTCGGCGGCCTTCATCCCACCGTTGGGGGAGAACCCGAGACCCACGTACCCCTTCGTCGCCACCTGCAGCAGGAAGGTCAACCTTACAGGCAAATGACCATAACGAACAGCATTTTCATCGTCAGTTAAATTCAAACTATTTTATTGACTCAGGTGTTCTGGACGAAATCCTAACAATTTATCCAAAATTTGCTTGTCCATTTTGAAGAATGAAGAACAATTTTTATTTATATTACTTCTAAGCTGCATCACTTATGAACCCATCCCTGCCCTTGTGTGGCAGTGCACAATAGAAAGTTGTTTACACATATCCATACATTAAAACATTGATTGTAACCATGATATATATGTGCTTCAGCCTACAGTTTAGACCTATTGTCTTATGTATGACCCTCTGTCCTGCGTGACAGTGAATACCAGCGTTATCCTCACTTGAATTCCTCAGATTAGGCAAAATTGTTATTAATTTTGTCAATAAAGATGTTAATAACAATAAAAAGTTAAATTCACTATAATTAAATGTTCGCATCGGGAGATGTTTATGCGCTTAACGTCAGTGTAAGTTTAGGGATAAAGTCGAAACACTCTCACCTCACTCTAGACACTACTCGCCCCAAGACACACCTCACCTTAAACAAGCCTCGTCCCAAGACACACCTCACCCTACACAAGCCTCGCTCCAAGACACACCTCACCCTAGACAAGCCTTGCCCCAAGACACACCTCACCCTAGACATGTCTCGCCCCAAGACACACCTTACCCTAGACAAGCCTCGCCCCAAGACACACCTCACCCTAGACACGCCTCGCCCCAAGACACACCTCACCCTAGACACGCCTCGCCCCAAGACACACCTCACCCTAGACACGCCTCGCCCCAAGACACACCTCACCCTAGACAAGCTTCGCCCCAAGACACACCTCACCCTAGACACGCCTCGCCCCAAGACACACCTCACCCTAGACAAGCCTCGCCCCCAAGACACACCTCACCCTAGACAAGCCTCGCTCCCAAGACACACCTCACCCTAGACAAGCCTCGCCCCCAAGACACACCTCACCCTAGACAAGCCTCGCTCCCAAGACACACCTCACCCTAGACAAGCCTCGCCCCCAAGACACACCTCACCCTAGACAAGCCTCGCCCCAAGACATACCTCACCCTAGACACGCCTCGCCCCAAGACACACCTCACCCTAGACAAGCTTCGCCCCAAGACACACCTCACCTTAGACAAGCCTCGCCCCCAAGACACACCTCACCCTAGACACACCAGTAGTTGAAATGGCCCCAATGACCGTGCGCTTTGCTTTTTCCGATGCACGGTCACTGGCGCAGGAGGGGGGGTTAAATTTTTTCCGATGTACGGTCATTGGCACAGTGGTGTTCTCGATTTTTTCCCCTTGCCGGGCATTGGCCCATGGGATGTTTTCATATTTTCATATCAGTTATCAAGCACTCCCTTCCGTCATATATAATTTTGCTGAAAGGGGGAATCAAACAGCTCCTTTCTATCCTCTTAGTCCATGAAAATTATGTTTAAGGGGATTAAAAGGTCGGCCCCTATCTTGTGTGTTTTGCACTACCCCGGTGATCATGCACTACCCCGGTGATCATGCACTACCCCGGTGATCATGCACTACCCCGGTGATCATGCACTACCCCGGTGATCATGCACTACCCCGGTGATCATGCACTACCCCGGTGATCATGCACTACCCCGGTGATCATGCACTACCCCGGTGATCATGCACTACCCCGGTGATCATGCACTACCCCGGTGATCATGCACTACCCCGGTGATCATGCACTACCCCGGTGATCATGCACTACCCCGGTGATCATGCACTACCCAGGTGATCATGCACTACCCAGGTGATCATGCACTACCCAGGTGATCATGCACTACCCAGGTGATCATGCACTACCCAGGTGATCATGCACTACCCCGGTGATCATGCACTACCCAGGTGATCATGCACTACCCAGGTGATCATGCACTACCCCGGTGATCATGCACTACCCCGGTGATCATGCACTACCCCGGTGATCATGCACTACCCCGGTGATCATGCACAAACATCACTACTGGTCAGTGACGTAAGGCAATCTTCATCTTCCTGTATAAGACCGTTTTCTGATATGAAATATTTATTCCCATTTTCGATATTTATGTCAAGGGGATTAAAAGGCCGCCTTCTGTCGTACTTAAATTTCGTTACCTCGGTGACCCTACACAGACATCGCTAATAGTCAATGACGTCAGTCAATCTTCATCTCACCTGAATAAGTCATTTTTCTGTAATAGGATATACAAACCCATTTCCTTAATGTTTCCCATTTTCAAAGTTCATTTTATAGATAAGATCGTATATTGAACATAAGAAATGAAATTGCAGAAGGCCTTTTGCAGGATCTCCTATTTACTTCCAATCTATGTTAACCAAAGCATCAATTAGCATTATTAGATGAACTGCAGTAGGTCTATTCTCTATTAATATCCCCTTTCAATAATAACACTTCATTAATATTCAGAAGGACCTATTTATCCCCCTTACATAAGAACATAAGAATAAAGGTAACTGCAGAAGGCCCATACGAGGCAGCTCCTATTTATAACCACTCAATCCCACTCATATACTTGTCCAACCCTCGCTTGAAACAATTGAAGAACCCCACCTCCACCACGTTACACGGTAATTGGTTCCACAAATCAACAACCCTGTTACCGAACTTATCCAAGTTTTTCCTAAATCTATACTTATCCAATTTATACCCATTGTTTTGTGTTCTGTCATGTGTTGATACTTTTAATACCCTATTAATATCCCCTTTGTTATGTCCATTCATGCACTTGTAAAACTCTATCAGGTCACCCCTAACTCTTCGCCTTTCCAGTGAATGCAATTTAAGCTTTGTTAATCTTTCTTCATATGAAAGACTTCTAATTTGGAGAATTAACTGTGTCCATCTACACTGGACACGTTCAAGTGAATTTATATCCATTCCATAGTACGGCGATCAAAACTGAACTGCATAATCTAAATGGGGCCTTACCAGAATAAGATATAGCTGAAGAACAACACCAGGTGTCTTGTTACTAACCCTTCGATTAATAAATTCCAGTGTCCTATTTGCCTTATTACGAACATTCATGCATTGATCCTTTGGTTTTAAATTCTTACTAATCATAACTCTCAGATTCCTTTTGCAATCCAACTTCGCAATCTCAACGCCATCTAGCCCGTATCTTGTAACTCTTTCATCATTACCTAGCCTCAAAACTTTACATTTATCAGCTTTAAACTGCATCTGCCAATCTATTGACCATCTCAAAACCCTATTTAGATCAACATGAAGTGATAGTGAGTCTTCTTCCGTGTTAATTGACATACCGAGTTTTGTATCATCGGCAAATTTGCAAATGTTGCTACTCAAACCTGAATCTAAATCATTTATATATATTATATTATAAACAACAGAGGTCCCAGGACAGAGCCTTGAGGCACTTCACTTACAACATTATCCCACTCTGACTTAATCCCATTTATACTAACTTTCTGTTTCCTTTGGAATAGCCATGCCCTAATCCAACTTAATATAGCACCCCCAATACCATGAGCCTCTATCTTTTTAACCAGTCTTTCATGTGGCACTGTATCAAAAGCTTTTCTAAAGTCAAGGTACACAACATCTCAATACTTACCACTATCAACTGCCTCAACTATGCTGGAATAATAAGATAGCAAATTTGTTAAACATGAACGGCCATTTGTAAAACCATGTTGCGACTCATTTATTTATTTATGTTTTTCAAGATGAAGACGAATTGTATTTGCAATTATCGATTCAAGTAACTTTCCCACAATAGACGTTAGGCTAATTGACCGATTAATTACGTATCTGGAAGCTGTTATATGTATAGAGATCAACCAAAAGATCGTTTATTGAACATGGGAATGGATGAAATCCACTATCTCCCATTCGTATGAAATAAGGGGAGCAGAGTATGAACTAACATGTATCTCACTTTGGTCAGCGTTCACGCTTTGTTACCAAACCAGTATTTACAGAGGTCTTTTTCTAAATCTAAACTTATCCAATTTATGCCCATTGTTTTCGTGTTCTGTCTCGTGTTTATACTTTTAATAGTCTATTGATAATCCCGTTTGTTATGTCCAATCATCCACTTGCACACCTCTATCATGTCACCCCATAATTCTTTGCCTTTCTAGAGAATGTAATTTAAGCTTTGCCAATCTTTCTTCAAGGATCGTTTGTTGAGCATAGGAATGGTTGAAATCCCCTACCCATTCGTATGAAAGAAGGGGAGCAACACAGAGCAAGAACTAATATGCATCTCACATGCGACAGTGTTAAAATAACATAAAAAATCAGGCATAGGAACACTACTGACTCCCTGTTGAAGTTTCTAAGTGCATGAAAATATATGTTATTATATAATTTTCCCAAAACAAACTACAAAATCACTCAGACATTTTCATTTATTCCTCAACACCCATGTATGCACACCTGCTAATCTCATGTATGTCTCATTAATCCTCAAAAAAACACCTCACTCCATCATATATCCAATCTAAATACTCATACAGTGTACATATATATGAACTAGATTGAGTAGAAACTGCTTCGTATGTTCAAAAATAGGTCTTCTGCAGTTACCTTCATTCTGATGTTCTCAACACGTCATCATACCCAATGCGGTTTGATCCACCAATAGGCTACATTGCTTTTAGTCTCCCATGACACTAGCAGTTCCAAGGAGGGACCCAGCCACTCATTAGCACATACCTTTAATCTCTCAATAGCTCAACTGTTCGCTGTGTCATCACCGGCTACATCATGATGCCTTGTGTCCACTCGTATTTTCGCTCATTGCGCATATTTTTTTGTTATTCAATTCATCGACCTTACCAAACCATCCTAACCTAACCTAACCTAACCTAACCTAAGCTATAAGAAACAAACAAAAACCAATTATTCTACGGTGATAAGATCCATTGTCTTAGCGATGCATGACATCACAAAAGCCGTTCTTGTAA